AATGAGGAATTATTCAAAATAAATTTGGTCAATGAGAGAATGAAAGTAAAGCTCCAAGCTGAGTCATTGGATGATTACAATGTGTGTTCAGAAAAGCCAGTGGAGAGCATTTCAAAACTTAGCACTGTAAAACACACAGAAAAGTGTCAAAAATGTAAATTTCATGGAGTGTATTGTCTAAAATCGCTGTGGAAAATAAATTTTGAACCTCCAATGTTTATGCTATTTTTCCAGAGTGTCTAAATACACACTTACAGATTGGTTACCTTTAACAGCAATGGATTTAACCTAAGGATATACCGAAGGCACAGTGCAGAAACAGGCCATTCAGGCTATCTGTCCACTCCAGTGATCCTTCTCCCATTCTTCATCATCTAATCCCAAGCACAACTTTCTATTGTTTCCTCCCTCACGTGTTTACCTAGATGCTCTTTATCTGTATCAAATTTACACTTGTATTTGAAAGCAAGAAAATATCCTAAAACAATTAATGGGGCATAATCAGACAAAATCTGACAATGAGGAAAAGAAGGAACAATTGTAACATGTTAACAAAAGAATGGTCTGTGAGATGCTTTTGTAGAAATGTCTTGTAGAAAAAGCATGAGTTGCAGAGGCAAAGGGAGAAAATTCCAAAACCTAGGAGCTGGATAATAGAATAGAAGAACCACCTATATCCTAATCAACTTAAATAACATTATAATTTTCCCTTGGTTGAGGCTTATCCTCCCCACTGAATCAATCATGCATTTCTGACTAATGGAATATATTCTATGATCTGCTCCTGACTTCTGCCCATACCTGTGCTGATATTCCATGTCAGAAGTGACTTAAGGAACAGTAAATTACCTGGATTTTTATTCAACCATGTGACAAAATGTTATACAATCCTTTTGACCAGCAATGTGCTTAGGCAAAAACAGCATTCTCACGAATTGTTTTCCAGTCTTTACCTCATTGCACATTTTCAAGGGAAGGTTCAGCGTAACTCAAAACAGGGTATCCTCTATATTCTCTATCCCATCCCAACATTTATAAATTTTCTTTTTTTTTGAATATTTACAACCAAAATTTAAATTCCTGCTGCTAGAAGTCTTTGATTCTGACTAAATACATCTAACCAGAGATAAACAAGCAAGATATTGATCACAAGAGATCTCATGCAATTCAGATTAGGTGGAAGTATTAAAGTTACTTCTTGTATGTGCGTACTGACAATCAAAGCAGCAACATCCATTACCCTAAAAGTGATTTTAAAGTTAGCCTGCAAGGAAATATGAAATCACTTTTTTTTCATTATATTTAAATAATCCAGCCAATCCTGTCTCCTGAGGAAGGGTCACGGGACCCGAAATATCAACTTTGATTTCTCTTCACAGATGCTGCCAGACCTGCTGAACTTTTCAAGCAACTTTTGTTTCTGTTTCCTTCTTGTTCAGTGGCAGCAGCGTGTACCATCTACAAATTGCACTGCAGCAAATTACCAAGCCTCCTTCGACACCACCTTTGAAACCTGCGACCTCTGCCACCTAGAGGGACAAAGGTAGCAGATGCATGTGAACACCACCACCTACAATTTCTCCTCCAAGTCACACACCATCTTGACTTGGAAACATACCACCATTCCTTCAGTGTCAATGGGTCAAACCCTCTTCCTAATGGTATTGTAGGTGTCCCTACAGCCCACAGATGGCAATGATTCAAGAAAGCTGTTCACCACCACTTTCTCAAGGGTAATTGAGGATGAGAAATAAATACTGGCACAGGCAGTGTAGCCACATTCCATTAATGAATAAACAAAAAAAACCGGCAGGCTAACTGCAGAGGAAGTTGAGAGCCTATTTTGACTGCCACACTACAGAGAACTGCAAGTATTTAAGCAGCTGTTATCTCATTGAACAATTTCTCCTTTAATGTGTCTCACTTCCTCCAAATAAAAGGTGTTGCTCAGGGAACCTGTATGGATCCTAGTTACACCTGCCTTTTTGTAGATCATTTTAAACAGTCTGAGTTCCAGTTCTGATCAGGGCCTCTCCCCCAACTTGTTTTTCAGCATATTGATGACTGTATCAGTGTCATTTCCTGCTCTTGCCTGGAAATGAGAATCTTCTTCAACCTCAGTTTTATTTTCCATCCTGCTCTCCTGGTCACCTTCCACATTTCCCCTCCTTTCCTCAATTTCTCTATCTCCATTACTCGGGAGGACAATCTATCAATATTCATTATAAGTTCACCACTGACTTCCACTGCTACCCAACTACACTTCTTCAATAGATAACACAGTGTGGAGCTGGAAAACACAGCAGGCCAGGCAACATCACAGGAGTAGGAAAGTTGACGTTACAAGTCAGGACCCTTCTTCAGAAAAGGGGGAAGGGGAAGGGAGCTCTGAAATAAATAGACAGTGGAGGGGTGGGGCTGGGGAACGTAGGTGGAATGGTGATAGGTGAGTGCAGATAGGCAGTGGTGGGGATTGGTCAGTGAGATGGGAGAGAAGATGGACAGGTTGTGTCAGGTCAAGGCGGCGGGGATGAGAGGGAGGGTTGGATATGGGATGAGGCTGGGGTGGGGAGATTTTGAAACTGGTAAAGTCCACATTGAGACCATTGGGTTGTTAGCTCCCAAGGCGGAATATGAGGTGCTGCTCCTCCAGTTTCCAGGTGGCATCATTGTGACACTGGAGGAGGCTCCCTTCACACTCCTTTTTCTACCACCCCCACTGTATGTCACATCACCTCCCTACTTTCTCCCACTTCACCATCCCTCCCTTTGTTTTTATTTCAGGTATTACAATTGGGCAATACTAGTCAGCTCAATGCTCACTGCTAAGGTGGCAGCCTGAGAGTAATGGACATGTTGCTCAGCTGGTTGCCAATGAAAAATATTACCCCTTTGAACGTATTTGTAAGTGGCAGGTTATGGGTGACATTAATAATTCCAATTTGAAAAGCATGCATAAATGCAAGTCCTTTCTTAGTTAGGTGCATAACAAATTAGTTTCCCTACTTTGTTGACAATATCTGGACAAGGGCTACCAGACACATGCGGTAAGCTTTTGTTGCTGGAGAAGGTAGCTCTATTTTATCAATGTTCTGTATTCATCCAGGGCTCTCTTATTTTAATGAAAATCTCTATTGATACATGTGTTGGCATTAGTGACCCATGTATGACAGCAAGTGAAAGCAGAGTGAGGGATATATACATATCTCTACTAACTTTTTAAAATCTTTATATTCCTATATATTAATTACATGAGAAAGTCATTAGGAAACTAATGTTACAAAAATAGATTTCTGTTTGTGGGAGCTTGCTATGCATAAATTAGTTACTGTGGTGTCCTTAGTTACAACCATGAACACATTTCAAAATTACTTCATTGGCCATAAAGCATTTTAGGATATCATATGGCTGTGAAAGGCACTATACAAAGCCTTTCTTAATATTCATACTTAGGTGATATTTTGTTGTTCTGTCAGGATATCTCTATCTCACAGCACCACATGTACTGTAGAGGATTGGGAAGATACTCTGCTTCCAACTTCTCAAGAACAACTAAGAATGGACAAAAAAAAAATTGGCCTTTTCGACAATGCCTGCATCCTGAGAATGAATTAAAAAAGAACATTCTACACGACATAGGATTAAAGAAATGTTTCCTCCGTCATCCCTGTGTTCCTGTCCATCATATCACAGAGCAATACTATTACTATTACGCAATGCAATGTAAAAGAACTAGATTTGGTTTATTTGTTTAAAAGAAAAGAAATAAAACAACAGTGTGAAGATATTGTTAAATAAAGTGAGTATGTTTTGAGAAAATTCAGACATGCCCACAGATGCTAAAAGTCACATAACCTTGATAGTTGCTTGGGCTGTTACAGCTCAAATGCCAGAAGTGCAAGTTGTACTTCTTTCAATTACTTGATTTCTGCTACTGCTGCAGAGAACAGATGTACAATGTATCAGGAGATGCAGAAAGAGTCACTGCAAGTGATTTTGTGCCTTGGCCAAATAACTTTTATTGGTAGCAATCAAATTGGTGAAGTTGATGATTTAATAGGACTTCAGTTTGATGTTCTCTGCCCTTTGAATAAATTCACTCAGTCCTGATGTGTCGGCCTAGATTATGATCATAAATCCTATGATGAGAGGTAAGAGCATAACCAACAGAGTCAAGGTGGCATAAGCTGGAATGCATGTGAGTGAAAGGTCAGTTTTTACTATATGGATATTAACATCTCCAAACTACATTTTTGGTTCAATTTCCATACCACATGTAATTTGCTTCCAAGGCATATGTTCACATCAAAGAATTCCCATACTGTTATTATTTCTGCATATTTCTTTACATTAACCTGTTTTAGTTGCATACTGATCATAGTATTTCTCTATGCTTCCACCCACCTCCATGAGGGCCTGAAACTTGCTAAGATGCTGTTCCACAGACACCAGCAGTGCTCTGCAATCTCCATAGGTTCTGTTCAAATGGGGGTCTAGCATTAATTAATTAATCTTGGGGAGTATTATCATCAGGGAAAATCCTGTCCTCACAAGATGTCTGACACGTGTACAATAATGCCTAAACAGCAACCAGTGATGGGAACCCCAGCTGATATTTCCTCCCTGGCCCACAGGCACTGCAGTAGCTCAAATATCCTCATCTAAGAGATTCGAAATCAGTCCAATCCAGGACTTGGACTTTCCTAGTCTATAGGCACAGCACAACTACCTACCAAACCAGCAGGGCGACTACTTTTATTTTTATCTAATGAATCAACTATGCATTCAAGCTGTGTGACATTCTTTGAATGAAAAGTACATTAAATTAATGTAATTTGAACAGAATTATAAAAAGAACCATCCTTAACCGACAGAGAGAGACAACATTCAAAGACATTTAAACAGCCAAACATTTTGTCTGTATCAATGGTATTCTTGTCTCTCCGGTGAAGGGAATTAATGCTGGGAGCTGACCTGGAGATCATGATAGGATCAATTTGCTACATGTTGACCACCAACACAGCAATGGACAGAATGAGCGTAGTCAGTCCACACCACAGTGATCCGGCGAAACCTTTCAGGCTCTCTCTGTTTGATTCGCTTCTATCGGAGTTTTCCATAGTACCAGATGGCCTGACTCTTGAGCTGCACAGTTCGTGCAAGTTGCCTTCAAACTTTAACTTTTTCGACTCCTTCCTGAGGGACTCCCAAACAGAGGCAGTGTCTGCAGGGCAACCTTCCAGAACCGAGTCTGCACATGCGTGAAAATCATCCCAGGAACTGCACAGAAAAAAGCACACACTAAATTGACTTACTTAGGTGTAAGAGGAACATACGCACTTCAGAAAAAAAGTTCAGTGGCAGATAATTCAGTAGTTTTCAACATTTTTTGGATTAAGGAACTCCACAACATTTCGAGAGATTCTTTAGGGGTACTCCAAACAAAGTCAGGCACTTTTTAAAGGAATGCAAATTAAACTATACTATTAAATTCTGAAAACTTATAATATAATATTGTGGATTATACAATGCTAACATTTTGTAATTATTTAATTTCAGTTTTTTGCATGAGGTTTAAATGGAATTCCTCTGTATTTGGTTCTATCTTCAAATGACCTAAAATTGAGGAAACTCTTGTGTTCTAGGAAAAAAAAACCTGTTTGGAAAATAATAAGCTAATTTCTTAAGTGATTGGAAAAATTTATAATAAGAGGACAGGGCTCATGTGACACAGCGGTAGTGTTCCCACCTTTGGGCCAGGAGGCCCAAGTTCACGTCGTATCTACTCCAGAGATGTGTAATAACAGGTTGATTAGAAATGTCTATAATAAGAACTTGTTACAACATCACCATTAAGTTTCATTGGGGTTCTTCACCTGGTCAAATGACCTGACTGATGCTTTAATTTGTCTTGTTGGCACTAATTTACACCAGTCACAATGATGAGGACATCACAACATAGAGTCGGAATACAGTTTGTCATTATAGACCAAGGAACACATCATTGCTCTTTCATAGATGTCTCTTGTATTTTCATGTCATGGAGGGATTTTCATGGATGGAAATATGTTTAAGTACTGTGATACACTTTGAATGTTTGTGCTTTCCAATACCCATTGAGAAATGTCATCCTTGTGCCCTCCAAGTGCCTCAGTGCAGATGCACTCTTTGCAGCCCTTTCCAAACCAGTATACTTTGTCTTCTGCAGCGCAATACATGATTTTCCCAAATACAGTAATATTCCAGGAGATGCTTGAAACCAGCCCAGAACTCAGGCTATTTGAGATGGAGTTGGAGATGTTAGCAGGGAGAGGAAGTGTAAGTGGAAATCTGGAAAGTTCCTTTCTGACCTCCTCAAGCGATGAAAGCTAGTAAATGAGGTCAGACTGATCAAGATCAACATTACCAGGTACCTACTTCCTAATGTAGAAAAGTCCAATTTGACTCAAAATATAACTGTTGTATCTCTCTCCATAGATATTGCTCAACCTGCTGCGTTTTTCCAGCACTTTCTGATTTTATTTCAGATTTTCACCATCTGCAGTATTTTGTTTTTACCTACTTTCTACTTAATGGGCTGCGTGGAGTCTTTGAATTTCTGCAAAGGTAAAAGTTATTTACTTTCCTAAAACCTATGTGAAAGACAAAAAAAAATCAATTTCATGTGGTTTCAAGAATGTCAGGTCAGTTGAGCAGCCTATGAGAAACCATCAGTCCTGTCTTCAGAGAATACTCAATTACATAACGACTATTTACATTTATACAATGTCATTACTACAGTAAAATGTTGTAAGGTGCTTCACAGTGTTATCAGACAGAATTGGGTGTCAAGTGACATAAGGAGACATTAAAAGACTGGTGACAAAAGCTTGGTCAGAGATGAATTTTGTAAAGTTGTGCAGAAAGGTAAAGAAGTTAGGGATAGAATCCCAAAGTTAAGGCCTTGATAGTTGAAGGCATGACTCATTGGCAGAGAAAAAATAATAGGAAATATGCAGAGGGATGAGAGACTCCAGCAAACATTTAAATGTATGTGGAGTTTCTGAATGCAGTACATAATTATCAGTGAGTATGAATCCATTGGTATTACAATTATGGGGTGACACTATGGTTCACATTTTCCATGGTAACCACTTTAGCAATGCAAAATGTTGCTCATGTAAGCATGATGTCAAAGACCATGCAGAGCAGCTCCAGACAGTTAGGACTTGTCTGGGTGCACAACGTGCTTTTAATGAGGGCATAAGTGCAAGGGATGCTGGTCTTCTGGCAAATATGGGAACGGTGTGTGGTAACATGTGATGCCACAGTCCCCTTTATTTTATGATCTTCAGCTTTGCTGACTAGCCTGTTATGTGGCACTTTATCAATTGACATTTGGTGGTCCTTACAAATCACATCAACCACACTACCCTCATCTCTGTTATCCCACGATAAAAAGCTCAATAAAGTTAGTTAAATATGATTTGACTTTATCAAATCTCCATGGTTTGAAAAATTATTGCAATTCCTTCTGCAGTTTCCACCCTTAATTCCCTCAGTTGCATCCATCTTTCTATGGTCCTTGTGCTTTCTGATAGCCTAGAGATTCTACCTGACCAGTCTGTAAAGTAGTAAGTGGGCAGCAAGCCAGGATGAGGGGAAGGATAGCACACAGGAGAGTAAGGTAGCAGATAGACAGCATGGTGGCTCAGTAGTTAGCACTGTTGCCTCACAGCACCAGGGACCTGGGTTCGATTCCAGCCTCAGGAGACTGTCTATGTGGAGTTTGCACATTCTCCCCGTGTCTGCGTGGGTTTCCTCCAGGTGCTCCGGTTTCCTCCCACAGTCCAAAGATGTGCAGGTTAGGTGGATTGGCCATGCTAAATTGCCGGTAGTGTTCAGGGATGTGTAGATTAGGTGGGTTATAGGTGTATGGGTCTGGATGGGATGCTCCAAGGGTCAGTGTGGATTTGTTGGGCCGAAGGGCCTGTTTCCACACTGTAGGGATTCTACATTGTCTGCTGCATGGGACTAATGCTTTGATCAAGTGGTATACAGAAAAGAGCAAATAGAAACACACAGAAATGCTTGGTGTATTGTGAGGTCTACAAGACAGTTAATTGTACTGTCAAGAAGCATGATGGAGTTTGGTTCTGCTTTTGGCTGGTGGCTTCATGCAGGCTTTAGAGCCCAATTTTTCCAGAATGGAAGCAGTGACCAACTACATGTTGACAGCTGCTGATCAAAACACAATGCAGCGGCTGGTGGCTGAAATCTCAGCTTCCATTCCAGCACAGGCTGAAACACCCAATGTCTGAGTGGAAGCTGTAGCTGATATTATGAATTCCAGGCATGTTGCCACACAAGCCCAAACTGCTGCCAGCATTATTGTGACACCAGTGTACAATGGGGTTCACGGGATTACAGAAGTCCAGCAATCTGTTCTTCAGCAGTTTGAGGATTGCTGAGTAGCTCCACAGAGCACAGCCTGCTGCCTTCTCCCAGGTTCATGCTTACCCCACTGCCACTCCAGCAATGTCCCTGCTGTTGCCTGTTTGCAAGCTGATACCACCATCACCCGTACTGAGGTGGTGGCCTTCTCCTTCCAACTCACAGCCACTTTCCTCCTGAGAACTTGGTGGAATTTGATGACATGCTGCTGTGAGTATTGGAGGGCACTGAGAAGTGGCCCAGGCAGTGGAGCTACTGTTCAAGAACATTGACTTGCTGCAGTTGTATGTGCACTGTCCACATATGGTCAGGTGGCAAGGGGAAGTCAGGAGACCCATGTACAGTGGATACCCCTTGAGCCAGAATGTGACTTTCTGCTGACAATATAGCTCAAATTGTGGGAATAATTGTGGGACAGGATAAAAGCATTATAAGTATAACAGGCATTCACCATAGTTACGCTCAGTGCATGGTCACACACCAGCTGCATGTTCAGGGAGTGGAAGCCTTGTGATTCCAATACATCTCCCCCATGAGATGCAGCACCCATCACCACTGAGAATACAACTATCTGAGCAATGCCTGCTCTTCCTACTTCTCTCTGATTAGTGAGAAAACAATTAAGCCCTCACTCCTCACATATAGGACCTCAAAGATCTCCTGGATGCAGCAGTTCCCAATGAACTGAGAGATGTTGACAATGTCATTAACAATGTTTCCTTAGGAGTACAAATTGAAAGCAACAGTGACCTTAATGCCCACCAACAGGGCCATCCTCATCTGATTCCCCATCTTTAGGTCTGGTCAGAAGAGGTGGCTCAGGTCAGTAACCAACTTCTTGGTGAAGCATAACTGCCTCAATCACTGCTCCTGCCTGAGGTAGCGATAGAATAAGTGATGAAAACCTTTGGTGAGTGCAGCTTTCTGTTGAGAGTCCTCCCTCCTCCTTCCTCCAGATGTAGCTTCTCCTTTCTGCTGTTCATGCTGCACCTCCCCATGGTGCTGCAGCCCAACATGAACTGTTACTGTAGCCCATATGACTGAGAAAAAGCTTTCTGCTCAGTGGCCATAATAATCCATTTATTCCTTGCAAAGGTTGAGCGCCACTTCCTGCTGACCGAAAAGGCTGTATGAGTTGCTTCAGCAACACAACACACAGGACTTCCAATAACTGCCCAATTGTTAAAAGAACATCCAAATTACCTTAATTGAAAGGCTTTTAAATAGCACTACTGAGGAGTGAGAGTCCCTCATTTGGTTACATTTTTAACCTTTCTCGCCTCTTGTGACATTGAAATCAGAAGCATTGTGGAGCCCAGTTTTAGACCTGGTGAATTTACTAGACATCAGAGATGACTTGCAAAAGTTACCAATCCAAGTACAATTTTTTTGAAGTTGCCATGAGGAGTTTTAAAGCTGCGGATCTCAACAAATTTTCTTTATTTTTAAATGAAGCATATTAAAATAGATGCAAGGACAACAGCTATTACCAGTTCCCCGTTGACTGAACTGCCCCAGTAATTTGATTGTGAACTATTATAAGGTTATGAGGTGACAGAGATATAAATATAGAAAGAACACTGCAGTTGGAGGGTGAGGGTAGAATGAGAGGAAGGGGGAGAAAAGCTTTTCTGTTATCTGCAGCTAGAAAGCAGAGCTATCAGTTTGAATCCAACCACAGCCACGGGGGTAGAGGAAAATGATACTAGATCTATGAAAACATCAATAATAATGAGAACTAACTTCGGATGCGTGTGGATGGCCTCTGCTGAATCACAGTGGTCGATGCAGAAGTAGCAGCCGTGGATGGCTGTGGGATATCACTGTGGGATCTCCCTGCTCTTTTA